AGCTCTGTGTCCCTGATAATTAGCAGAAGTTTGATATATTATAAGGACTTAATCTTTAACTGTCTTTGCTGTCATTATTTTAAGGACAATATATGATACATGTGAGGTTGACAATGAAAATGAGAGTTAAATACAGAATAGAGAGACATCAGAGAAAATATGTGAAAGTATATGGTTTTAAGTCCATATGAAGTGCTTAAAATTTTCTAATACCACACTGCACAGAAAGTATACCCTATAGCCTAATATTGCACTAATTAAAAAGCTGATAATTCATCTACTGATTATAAAAAAGTTCCATAAAAGTACCTAAACACCATCCAGTTCCTTTTCTTGTCTCATCAAAAAGAAGTTAGAAATAAAATGTCTTATGCTTGGTTCTCTAGAAAAGAAAAATCAAAGAAATATGCATTTTGAATATTGTTGTTATGTGCCGTCAAGTGGCCTATGACTCATAGTGACCCTGTGTACAACAGCCCTAAACTCTGCTCTATCCTGTGCCAATTTTATTGTTCCAATACACCTACCCCCATTACCCCAGTCACTGTTTCAATCCATCTCATTGAGGGTCATCCTCTCCTACACTGTCCCTCCACCCTCCCAAGCATGATATCCCACTCCAAGGACTGATCCCACCTTGTAACATGTAGAAGTATGCCAGATGAAGCTTCAGAATCATTGCCTTCAAAAGAGCAGCCTGACTTTATCCTCTTCAGGACGAACCTGTTTGTTCTCTTAGAAGTCCATGATATATTCAATACTCTTCTCCAGCACCACAGCTGAAAGGCTTCAATTCTTCTTCTATCCTCCCTAGTCATTGTCCAACTTTCTGGTGCATAGCAAATGATTGTATAGACCATGGCCTGTATCAGGCATACTTTAGTCTCCAGACTAATATTGTTGCTCTTCAGTATTTTGGAGAGGATTAGATATAAATATGATGCCAATGCAATACCTTTAAATTGTGGTGTTGACCTTTGAATTGTGAAGTTGGATAACAATATGGAATATCTAGTGTGGTTTATGTGTGCCTTTAATCATACCAACTGATAATGACCCTCCAGTAGGTTTTCAGAGACTTTAAGTTGCATGGAGATTGCCAACTTTCTCCCAAAGGGCAGCTGATAGACGGTTTCGTCTTGTAAAGTTTGCAGTTTTTGAAAACCCACTGGAGGATTGTTGTTGTTGTTGTTAAGTGCTGTCTAGTCGTAGGCGACTCATAGCAACCCTATGAAGGAGAGTCCTCGACGTTTGGGTGCCTTTCATCCTCTCTCCAGGTTCATAGGGTTTCCGGAGGCAAGCTATTATGGAAGTGGATGCCACTCCTCCTTCCAAGCTTGTTTTAGTTGGGGAGCTCCGCCCCACTCTCTGTCCACATTGGGTAACTAGCCATTAAAGCATTTGACACATCAGTGTCACAGTGTTCAGCCTCACAGCAACCACAAGTGACCGCTGGACGGCAACTTGTACACCAGGGCTATACGACCTAGAGGAATGTCGGAACAAAAACAATAAAGGCAGGCCCAAGGGCCGCGGATTAAAAATTACTTACCTTTGGCTTGGTTGCATAGTTTTCTGTCTACTAGGCCTGCTGATCTCTATGTTGATGTTATTGCACTGGAGGATTAGCTATGAGTTAATTCTGACTCAATGCATATGACAGCAGCAGCAATAATTGTCATGGAGTCCCCGAGTGGCACAAACTGCTAAGCACTAGGTTGCTAGCTGAGATCTATAGTTCAAGCCCATTCATAGGAGTCTTTAAAGAAAGTCCATATTATCTGCTTCTAAAATACACAACCTTGAGAATTCTATGAGGATAGGTTTATTTAGTCTGCACACCAGTCTCTACGAGTCAGAATCTATATAACAATAGTTAACAATCACGAAATATTAATATGAAATAGTAAATAAACCTCCTAACAGGGTTCAGATCTTTTGTTCATAGGATCACTATGAGTCATGATCGACTCGACAGCACCTAACAACAACAACAATTCACTGGAATTGAGACAGTTCTCACCCATAAGGATCCTCCACTGAGATTTTTTTGTTTTGTAAGAGGTGTTTTGTTGTTGTTGTAGTTTTCTATTATTTTTCCATTTAAAAAAATATTGTTCAGTCATTTGTCCTTCCTCTTCCTTCCCCACTTCCCCTTGGAAGGCTTTTAATTGTTCTACATGTGATTTCTAATAGTTCCTTCTTTTCAGAATATCCTTCCTTTCATCCATTCCAGAGCAGTGTTCATTATCTATCCCTTTTTTTTTCTTCTCACTTCCCTCCCTAACCCCCATGTCTCAATCACACAGGGATAAAGCCTGCTTAAGTCCACTACTATGTTGATAGGATCCATGGAGGGTTTTGAGGCTATAAATCCTAATAGGATAAGAGTGTTCATCTTTCCCCCCTCAGAACCTCTGGTGTATTTGGACCAGTAGCAAAGTCTTTGGGTCTCTATGGCCAAGAGATCAGTACTTGTTCCTTTCATTTTTTCTGCAGTTTCTGCAGTGACTTAGTGTTAAGAAGCTGCACTGCCCTCCCAAAGATGCTCAGTTAGAATCCATCCACCAGCTGCTCTGAGTGAGAAGGGTGGACAATCCCAGCTCCCCCCAATTTACTGCCTTTAAAAATCTACTGGATGGTCAGCTATGGTTTCATTCTAACTTAACAGGAACAACAAAAAGAATGTTTAGTTTTTCAGAGAAGAAATTTTTTCCCCCTACAGTGTTTATTTCTATTTTTCACATGTGAAATATGCTCACAAGCATGTCAACAAGTAGACAGTAATAAAGAGAGAAAACATTTAACTGTAGTGGGAGCTGAAATCTAACAATGAACTCTTTCATCTTGATTCTAAGCCCTGGAGGCTCCTCTGAGGTCTTTGAAGTACTTACTTGGTTGAGCCTTTCAAAGAAATTCAGCAAAATAAGTGGTGTGAAGCAAACAAAAATATAAACCCTAAACATTTCCAAGCTTTGCATAATCAACATGTCCGTTTACTTTTTTTATTAAATTTGCCTTCCTCGAAGTAAGGTTAACCAAATCTGTCTATTCCCCAATGGTTATATTTTTCTCCTTTTGATCTTCCACATGTATTTCAGCTTGGAGCTAAATTCTCCCCAATTTTTGAAAGTTTGACAAGTATCAATTTGTTAAGACTCCTGCTGAAGAGTTTATGATTACATGGGTCTGTCTGCTGTCTTTCAATTATATTTTCAATAATTTTGGCTTATAGACTACATTAGAACTGTTAAGGGTTTTTTTTAGGTTTTTTATTTTAATTGATATTTAAATAAAAGTTTATAGAGAACTTGGATTTCCATTTATTCATTGTTGCACATGTTCCTCCCCACCTGCCTCCCCCAGTTCACTTTTTTCTTGGGAAAAAACAAAAGAAAAAGAATTCTTTCATTGTTGCACAATTTCCTCCCTTTCCTTCCCCTCCACATTCCACTTTGCTGTGCAGCTCTTATTCTGGACTGTTACCATGAAAACAATACCTAATTTTTTATATTTTATATTTCTTTTAAATGGTTTTTTGCTCATCTTGTTATGCAATTCCCTCCATACCCCGTGTGTGAACTCTCAACACATTGGTGAAAAATGTATCCTTATCTGATTTTGAAGAAGAAAATAAATGAGTATTCACCCATATTTTCATTTACTTCAGGAAGAATTTATTACCATAGAACACCCAATTTTTGGTACAAACGTACCTGTGGTAGTTTACTGACAGCAAATACCACATAAATACAGACTACGTATTAAGACACTGAGAGCACAGAAATGATCCAAGAAAGTCCTAATTTACACAGAACGTACTTTTGAGCAATAAAGACCAAAGAGCATATAAATGTATAAAATAATTTACCATCTCAAATGCTTTGGATGTATTGCCAAGAGGAAGCAGTCCTTGGAGAAGGACATCATGCTTGGAAGGGTGGAGGGAGAATGCAGGACAGGAAGACCCAAGATGAAATGGCAGGTGTGTCAGAGGCAGTGAGACTGGCTCAGGAAAGGACAGAGCTCAGATCTATCATACATAGGGCCATTGTGAGTCACAGGTCACTTGGTGTCACATAAAATCGCAACTTAGATATATTTATTATTTTGTAAGAAACAGGTTCTCTTTCATTTTGTTAACACAAATATTCTTAATACCTCAATAGTGAATCTATTTTGTTTTAATAGACTTACATATTTTGTCTAAATATTGCTGCACGGGAATGAAATTATAGGTTCATATAATTAGCCAAGCTTAAAATCATAACAATGTCATCAACATTTCCCTGTTATCTCTATTGCATCACTCATGGTGACTCTCTACTCTCTGTGTGTCAGAGTGGAATCATACTCCATGAGTTCAGTGCCTAATTTTTCTCAAGTAGTTGCCAGATGTTTCTTCTGAACAGTCACTAACTCAACTCACTACCATGGATCAGTTCCAACTCATAGTAACACTCCATTGGGTTATTGTGGTTACATATAGCAACAGGCGAAGACTTCCCATCTCTGTCCCGAGAGTCACTCTTGGACCCAACATGCCAGAGATGCTAGTCTTTGGTTAGTGACACAGCTTTCTGCAGACTACACCAGCAGAGCTCCATTGTGAGTTATGTTGATACATTTTCCAAATATATTTTCTCTAATACTCCAAGCCACATGTTGCAATAAAATAGATGAAAAAATGAATTATTGCTGCTGTTGTTGTTAGGTGTCATGGAGTCAGAGACAACTCATAGTGACCCTATGAACGAAAGTCCTGAGCACTGTTCGTACACAGAGTTTCTCGAGGCAAGCCATTTCAGAAGTGGATACCACTCCTGCTTCCAGGCTTGGAAAAATGAATTAAGATACTTAATAACAACAACCAACTAGTGTTTTCCTGTCTCTTCATTCACACTCTATTTCGAATATTTTTTCTGTTAAAGTTGTAAAGAGTGTTCTTAAAGCATGAGATGTATACAATATATTTTCAAATATGTGTATTTTCTTCCCAGGAATTTGCTGCATTGACTAAAGAATTAAATGCCTGCAGGGAACAACTTCTAGAAAAGGAAGAAGAAATATCTGAACTTAAAGCGGAAAGAAACAACACAAGAGTAAGTGTAAAGTTAAATTGGCTTGGAATTAATTTCACCAACCTTTCAATTTAGAATGAATGGTCTTGTGAAGGAAGCCAGGATGAGAAGACTTCATCTCACATCCTATGGGCTTGTTATCCAAAAGATTCTGTGCATGGAGAAGGGAATCAGAGTTGGTAAAATAGAAGATCAGCATAATGTAGCAAAAGTCTCAACAAAGTGTTTGCAATAAGGGACTCAAACATGAGAATACTGTGAGGATGGTGCAGGACTGGGCATTATTTTATTCTATTATATGAGGGATTACTACGGTTGGCAGTTAAAGGGAACCCAGCAATAACAACACAGTTGAGTAGCACATATAAAAATAAAACAAGGCTTTAGAATTTTAGAAAGACATCAACTAATAGTTTGAAGAATATATTACATGATTCAAACAAGACAAGCCACATAAAGGATGGCTACAAAACCACTATGTTGCCTTAGACATTCGTCTTATTCTTTCCGGTATTTGGTTTTATGCAAAGTAAAGGACAGCCATTGTCTGTAATAAAGTTCAGACTATCAAAATATTATATTTCTTGTAAAAAGGCATGCCCTGGAAACTTGAGATTGGCAATAAGTAAAAAATTTTGGAGAGAAGTAAGGGTTTCATTTTTGGGATACTGAAAAATTGGATTGAACCATGGCACCCAAATAGCCCCTATGAAATATTTCTTTTTAAAAAGGAATAAGGAAAATATATAAAAAATAGGAAACTTCTAGAACAGTTTCCTAATACAGCAATTAAAATACACATGCCATGTCTTTTCAGTTACTTCCTCTATATCTGAAAATCAAGCAATGAATAAGGATAACCGAAGGAAAATGGATGCCTTGAGTTGTGGTGTTGGAGAAGAGTGCTGACTATGCCAAAAGAACAAGGGAGTCTGTTTTGAAACAAGTGCAGTTGGGGTGCTCCTTGGAGGCAAAGGTGGTGAAACATGCTTTGAACATATTTTCGGGAAAGACCAGTCCTTGGAAAAAGATATCCTGGCAAAGGTGGAGGGTTAGAGAAAGAAATGAAGATTCTTACCAGAGTGGGCTGACACAGTGACTGTAACAGTGGGCTTGAGCATATCCGATATTATGAGGATGACACAGGATAGGACAAGGTTCAGATCTGCTGTTCAAAATGTTGCTATGCATGTGGCTGATTGGACGATGCTCAATAGCAATAGTAATAAACTGTGAGAGAATACAATTCTGTTTGCTAAAGATAAAAATATGTGTGCCTTTTTAATTTAGAAAAATCCTTATTTTGATATCACAAAACTGATGTAATTTACTACAGTTTTCTTATAGAAACCCATATATTTTATCAAACCCATAGCTTGCTACATCCTGAGCATTAAAGTTCAGAAATGTATCCAACTTGTTATATTATCTAGTTCAGGAGAAATAGTCACAGAATTTCATAGAAATATAAATTGCCTTACTACTCGTGAATCAGTGTAGTATTTACCAAAAATAATGATACCATGTGCATAAAAGTTCAATTTACCTATGTATTTGGAGAAAAATATTTTAAGTTATATTCTAATTTAAATATTAATACTAAACATATAAGATATAATTAATAGTCTGCACTGCAATCCCAAAGGCATGAGGTTTGAGGCCACCAGCAGCTCCTTGGGAGAAGGATGGGCAATCTCCTCCTGTGTGATTAACTGCCTTTGAAAACCCGCTGGAGAGTCAGCTGTGAGTCGGTTCCAACTCTACAGTATACAACAACAGTAATCATTTTACAGTGAGCTCTGGTTGCATAATATTGATTTATGCTCCTAACTCCAAGTGTACATTTCTCTGGAGGTTCAAAGTTCATCAGAGGCTTCAAGGGAGAAAGACATTTTTTCCCTATGTGATTCATATGCCAAAAAAACCCTTAAAGGGTCGGCTGTGATTCATTTCTGACTTGACAATGAGAGAGAGAGGTGGGGAAAAAATGCTAGGCATTGGAGAGTAATAGAAAAAATTCAGCTCCATAAACTGTAAGTTTGCATTTCTAATGAGATATAGTATTGCAAACATAATGGTGATATGATTAACTCTATTTTTTGTCCTTATTAACGAAGATTTTATTTTATGAGAAAAGAATTCACACACTGTTAATATAAAGCATATATTTTCAGGAAATTTTGACCAGACCATAGTTATCACAAGATTTTCAAGCAGGTCATAACAAGGTCAGCATTGATCATGCTATCAACTGTCAAATAGATTTTCTCCCCCATTTGTTTCTCTTTTTTTCTTTATTTGTATTTTAACTTACACTATTTCTCCACACAAATTTAAAGTTGTTGGATGATGGCAGTTTTAACTGCTTGGTGATTTATTATGGCTTATTATTATCTTCTTGTCAATGCCTTTGATTCCACTTTCTAATGTAGCATATGATAGCCAAGTGTAGAAGAGCAGGTAGAAGAAAATAGACTTGAAGATTTTTCCATAGATTTCCATTAACATTCCTTTTTTAAATTACTTTTAATGAAAGTTTACAGAGACTTAGGGTTTCAAATCATTCATTGTGGCACTTTTCTCCCTGACCACCCCCTCCCCCCAATTCACTTTTCTCCTTGAAAAGTAAATCTCTTTCATTGCTATGCAATACCTCCCCCCAAGTCCATTGCACTGTGCATCCTTCATTCTGTTCTCCTGTCATGACATTAACACCTAATCATATATCCCTTTTAAACAATTCTCTCCCTCATTGTTGCAATGTTTTAAAATATATCAAAATCCTTGATTAGGACCTGTACTACCCATTGTGTCATTTACTACACCCTATAGCCTTTTGAGGGAGGTTCGGAGGCTAGGTAAGGAAAGATGCTGCCAATCCAAAGTCCCGGTTGTTAAAAAGCACATTTGACTTTGAACATGGGAGAAAGATGGAAATTCTATTTCTGTGTGATTTACAGCCTCAGAAAACATACTTGAGGATCAACTATGAGTTCATTTCAATCATACATACACAACAACAACAACAACAGCTCTGTGATGAAAATGTTACAATTATCCAACCTCATTTTATAGCTGAGGAAAATGAGCTCAGAAGACGTTGCCTTAAGGCAACGTTTGTTCATGGCAAGAAGGAGTTTAAAGGGTAAGGTAATTATATCTAGAGCCTATATTCTTAGTTAAAATGACACCAAAGCCAATAGTTAAATTATAAAATGAAGTAAAAGATTTGTTAAAACTTAAAGCGATCAGTTATAAGAAATAGCATGCAGTGTGGCATTTCTTCCTAATGTTACTTAGAAAACTAAAAGATTTGGAAAAAAAAGTCTCCATTTTCATTATTTTAAACTTCATAGATCCCAGTTGTGTCTGTGGCTATTTCACCTGTAAAAATATATTAGGTAATGAATAAATAAAAGCAAACTACACCTTAATACTTACTAAAAATTCCAAGTAAAAAATACAGTTTCTTTAAAATAACAGAATTGATTTTATGTGTTACATACTTAGGTTGAAAACGTGAGTCAGTTTGGAAATACTCTTTCTATTTTCCCTAAAATAATGATATGGAAGATTTTTTCTATTGCTTATCTCAAGTAAGTTAGATATATGAAATTTTCCTAGTTAAAATATTAATTATATAATAATTCCTTAAATTACATAACAAACACTCCCCCTCGTGTCTCCCCCTCAAGGAAAAAAAAATCACAAAGAAATTAGACTGTTTTCATGTTTTCTTTCCCCCTAGAATGCAACATTAAGCAGTCCTAAATATAACGATCATTATAGATTTATGTAATAGTTGTCCTTTTTACATATTGTGTTTTTCTCCTTGCTATAAACACCCACTCCTTGGTCATGGAGAGATAGTCAAATGCTAATATTTCTTTTTTCACACCTAATGACAGTTTGATTAGTGTTAGACTGTTAGCAAATTCAAAGTATAAAAGGATGTGCCAGTTCCCAAGATTCTGATAAAGTTGTGTATCTCTTTTTTTTTCACAGTAAAGAATTGGCACATGCCTGTACACTGAGAGAAATAGCACAGAGAAACAGCCCATAGGACAACTCATAGCGGACGGTATCACTTGTACTAACTATGAGCACACACACAATAAGAGATCAAAAAGGTCTCTCATGAACAATGAAATTTAAATGGGTTATACTCTCTCAACAATTGAAAATAGGAATTTTAGGAGGAGTTAATTTTGATTCCAGGCGACTCAAAGCGTGCCAGTGTAGAACTATGTAGAGTTTCCAGTGGCTGATTTTGTGTAAATTGTCTGACTTTTCTTCCAAAACAAATCTGATTATGCTTTCCAACACTTGCACAGAGCACCAAGTGTTTACAAAGCAATAAGTATTCCACATATTTTAACTCCTTTTATTTCCATTATCCTTTTCACTGAGGAGGAATCTTAGGTATTAAGTAGTTTTGTCCTGGACTCTGTGGCTTATACATGATATTTTTTTTCTTGCCTTTAACATGTATTTAAAGTCCATGTATTTAAGTGAGCTTCTGTGTGGTAAAAAGACTTAATATACTTTGTTTTAAACATCACAGGTACATAGTAGCCATAAGATGGAACTGACTCAATGATAACTGTTTTTATGCATTTGTAAAATTATATTTCTATGGAGGTATGTGTATCAGAGTCAGTGAGGCTGTCTCAGAATAGGACAGAATTCAAAGCTATTGTACTTAGGATCACTGTGAGTCACAGTCAACTTGATGGCACATAACCACATATCACAAATAAATCATATGTCGTGAAAGATGTTGTTAAGTAATGACTTTTTTTCGAATTTTGTAATTCCACTCTCTTCTGTTCAGTTTTTGTTTTGTCTCAATTCTATGAAAAGTAATATACTAGACTCTTATTTGCTGTCAGAGCTGAATGCTGTGGTCATTTTTCACTGTCACTACAGAAGCACCTCCTCCCATCTCAAAAATATGAGTGAATTAAAGGAATGAAGATTATCACTAGAGTTGCTGTCAAAAACAACTGTCTCTTGTAATT